TCTCTCTCTCTCTCTCTCTCCCGTTGCAGCGCCACGAAATGGAAAACGCGTTTACGTTCTAAGCCGGGGCTTAATATAAGCCGTTGACCGGCTCCGCCAGTGATTTCGATGTTACGATAGCCTGGCTGGCCGGCCAAGTGATCCTCGATCGATTTCGTACTCCTCTCCCCTCGCCCGATCTCCGACTCGCGGAGATTAGGTCAGGGACCAGAGAAACGGGTTAGGCCGTGGTAAGTACACAACCCACTACACGAGCGTATCCCAGTGATGAGATGATTGGCCCCGCTAATGAAACCTGATAGAGAACCCACCACTGGCTGCCTCGTTGCGGATTATTCCGCCGATGTAACGCGATGGATCGTGGTCGGTGATCCCGTGCTACACTTCCGGCTAGACTGCACCTCCCCTCCTTCTCTCCTTCTCGTCTAGAAGAGATCGAAACGTATACGCGATTTTCACTCTTCTTCTTCTTCTTCTTTTCTTTAGTTAGTGATGATTTTGACGGAAGTGGAGCGAGCTCTTCCTCGAGGGGAGAAAGTGCGCAGGTGCGGTGGATCGGGTTTCTTTTTGTCACCGTGTTTCTTTCTTCTTCTTTCTCACTCATTCACGATACGCTTGTTGTTGTCCTTGCGTGTAATTAACACCGTACGTCGCGAAATTCGACGTTGAATCGTTGCGCGAAGTTGGGGAAGGGGCGGAGGGAAGCCAGTCGATCCTGTAATCCCGCGATTTTTCCGCTCGAGGAGGGGAGAGGGGTCCTTGGAGAAAAATCCAAGTGCCTTATCTGAGAAATGGGGGCTCGTAAAGAATCGGGAGGAGCGAGATAGGATGATCGGCCGGTATATAAATCGACTCGGTATCGCGACGTCGGCCCGTCGACAAAGTGGCGAGTGATAAAACGCGGCCCGAGATTTCTCCAAACGCTTTCGAGATGGAAGAAATTTTCGCGTTTATTTTCCTACGGTACGAAGCATCTTCGGCGATCGTTCGATAAAACGTTTTCACGCTACATTGTCCCTAATAGTAAGGAGAAGGGAGGGTGTGTTCAATCTCGAGGGTGGCCGATTTTCCGTGATTTCAGCGCGAATTTCGCTCGGACGCGTTTCTCGAATCGCGTTTATCGTTCGAAAACTCGAAGCGTAACGATATTTTGATATCGTTAATCGAATAATTCGATCGTTTGCTCCTTTGCCCGAGTAATACGAAAAAAAAAGTTTAACGGAGGTTTAATATTTTTAGCGTCGTGATCGAAAGAGTAGCAATGTAACAATTTCGAGAAGGGATTTCCAGAGAAACGATATAAAATTAATTTTTATAAGGTAGCTTTCGTTGCTTGATATTTCTCTCGGTTATCCTCGCGAAAGAGAATTTTCCCCGATGTTACTCCCCCGTTGCTCTTTCCGTTGAAACTTTTCTGCTTTTCACCGGCGATCGGAACGGAAAGAAAGAAGAGAGAGAGAGGGGAGGAGAGGAAACACAGGATGAAAGAGACGAGGAGAGAGGCAACAGCCGTTTGAACATCAACAGCTGCATCGCAGCCCGCCCCAGCTAGCCGCCTCCTCTATTTGCTCCTCTTGCATTCTTCGTGGAATAGTTTGGTCTCGCCGCGGATATACACCGACTACGCCCAGAGAGAACGAAAGAGATTAAGAATATCTTTTTCGGGGTGTTCGGTAGCCGTCGAAACGAAACTGTTCTCTTCGTTCGTTCCTTCGCTCCTTCCTTCCTTCCTTCCCTCGACGTTTACGAAATCGGATCGAGCACCACTGCGTTGCCTAGAACGAGGAAAAAAAATATCCGTGTCGACCCCTGAACCCAAACCTCGCGTTCTCGACCGAGAGGAACGCGAGAATCTCGAACGGATAAAATATAAAACTCTTAGAAATTTTGGAAAATTTCAATCCGAAGAAGCGAAAAGTTTGAAAAAGTAAAGAGAGAAAAAGAAGAGAGAGAGAGAGAGAGAGAGAAAAAGTAAATATAGTTCGTGTATCGCGAGATTTGTGAACGTTCCGTGCCACGTGTGGAAAGAAGGGAAAAGTGGATTTCTGGGTCATGCGAACGTGCGAAACGATTACGAGAGTCGTTGAAGAAGCTGGTTATTGGAGTTGCGCGATATTCGCGACAAAACCCGGCGAAGGAAAAAGTAGCGAGACTCCTTGCTCGTAGAATTAGCCCAAAGGGAAAATGCGGAGAGAGAAACTTTACGGATGTAAGATATTTACGAGGTTTGTAATTGCGACTTATAAACTCGGTGGATGTAAGACAACTGTACGAGCTCCCCTCGTGGGAAAGATAAAATTGCGAATGCGAGACCAAGTTTCGCGGTTTCGTCGTGGCGAAATGAATTTTCTACTACTTTTTCTCCGATATAATAATAATATAATAGCAATAATAATTGTTTCTGCAACCTTGTTTTCTCAACACAAATTTACGACCGAGATTTAAGGAGAGGAAAAGAGCGCGAAGATTTAAAGGAAATCATAGAGCTGGGAATTATCGGAATATACATAAGATAATGATACAATTCCCTCGAGTCACGGAACAGGTAGACGAAAGGGAATAAAAAATAGACGAGAAAAATATGAATTACTCCTTTAATGATACCTGACGAAGCAAATATATATATAAATTTATGATACATCTCGGGCCAGTCGTTGAAAT